GGTTCCCTATTTTTAATGTTCATACAGAGATTTCTTTAACTGAAATACCAAATAGTTTCTTTGGTGCAAAAACTATAATAGTACATAGGATCCTAATGAGACAATTAATAATGTGAAATAGGAAGTAAAGGGCTAAAGGTGTAGGAAAAGTGGGAATGGTGGGGGAAAGGTAATAAGGGAGAGGAAAAAAATATGAGAAACTGAAAAAATAGAAATAAAGTGTTTGTAAATGGGGAGGGAAGGAGGGGGTGAAGGGAGGGCAGGGACAAGGGGAAAAAATGAGAATCAAGACCTATTATGTAAAGGTACAGAATCCCAATGATGAATGTAACTGTATTGTATACCTAGATTGTACCAATAAACTCAGTTAAAAAAAAATGCCAGTCTTTGTTTAAATGTATTCAAACAGAGAGATTCCTATAAGTAGTTCTCCATACAAAAAAGCAAATGAGTAAGTAAAAAAGCTTCAGTTATTTCTGTTGACTTCCATATCTGGGCACCAAAGATGGCACCCCAGGGAAATCTCTGATAGAAATAGTGGCACCCAGGAAAAACTGACTGATCCGGTTATTTCAATGGAGTGAAGACCTCTTTTGCCATGTCATCAGGGAGTGAATATCCGGTCCTTTTCTATGCATCTTTATCCTGGGCTAAAGATCTTTTTATCATCAGCTCCACAGGAAAGCCCTAATGCACTCTTTACCTAAAAGCTTTTCTCTCAGTCTGTATTTGTTTACATTCTCTGCTGCCTGGAGGAATGGGATAAAGGCAGTGCTGGGTAGTATTAGAAAGCAGCATTTGTTTGGGGGGGGGGCATCAGGAGATCTATCTTCCAGAAATTCAAATATCTATGTGGTGGGTGCTACTTACACATGGACATTTGAATTTGAATTCATGAGAATTAAAAAGCACTAAACATTCAGGGCTTTAGTCACACCAATCATAACTCGAGTGCTCAGTAGCCACGGCTTTGGAGAGCACAGAAAAACAAGTTGTTCATGACAGGCAGTTCTCCCAGGCAGTGCTTTGTAGGACTCGCTGCACCATTTAAACCATCTCTCCTGGCTCCAGCTTCCATAGGTAGAAAAAGAAAGGGATTGTCCAGCTCCATCAGTGACACATATAAACTTCTGAGGAAATCCAGCTCATCAACTCCTCCCCAAAGCTACTGAGCCAGTAACTTTGGGAATGAGTTCTACCATGTTGTGTTTAACAAGCCCTCCAAATGACTTGTAAATACCATAAAACATAAAAGACTAGTTCTTCCTGGCTGTGAACATCCCTCCTTCAAAAATGCCTTTGCAAATAAAAATTTAAATGAATAACATTCCCTTGCCCATGGATCAGGAAGGGGAAGATGTCACTGGTCTTGAGTAGTGCCCACCATTTTTTTCCACCTACTTCAGGAGCCTTAAACAGCTTATCATTTTATTTTGTAGCCTGACTTTGAAGAGTTTTTGTCTTTTATGACAACTAGTCTAAGCCATGTGCTAATTATAGCTCAAGGAAAAGAATGGGATCAGTTAGAAGAAAATGAGACAGAATTCAAAGAAACATCTGAACTTCCAACTGAGAGTGACGTCAAAAAGTGGGACAGGTAATTAAGAGAAGAAATGTATCATTTAGAATACACCATTAAGTAATAGAGCGTGGTGTCAAATATCTCAAAATAACACGAGCATTTTATGTTGTAATGTCAAGTATTTCTTCCGGTCAACCTGAATTATTGTCAACTGGATAGATTGGAGAGATTAGTAGATCACACCTCTGGGTGTGGTAGATGGGCCATAGAAGTGTGACCTTGGGAACTATATTTTGTCCCTAGACTCTTCCTCTCTGACTCATCCACTCCTCTCTGCTCCTGGATGTCATGAGTTAGGCTGTTTTCCTCTGCTATGCCCTTCATGATATTTATGCAATGGATCCGACTGCCCATGGACTCAAACCATGAGCCCAGATACCTCCCTCTTCTTTTAAATTGCAAGCGTTAGTTATCTATCCCAGCAATGACAAAGCTGACCAGTACACCAGGATTGTCCCAAAAGTTTATGCTAACAATATTAGAAAAAGAAGAATTCTCCCTGCATGACCTTCTAAACCTTGAGCAGACCCGTCTGGATTCATGACCTGGGTTTGAAAAGAATCACACGTGATCCTCCAAACCTCTGACCATCTGCCACATTTCTTTTCTGCCTGCTCAGAGCCCTTTTAAAAAAAAACTTGCTCTTTTTGGTGAGGCACTTAGTGGTTATAAAAATGGCTATCCATTTTTGTTAATTAATTTGTAAATATTTAGAAATGGACATAAGTAATTTGCAGGATGCTGTTACATGAGGCTCTTTGTACGTTTTAGACCTGTGAAGACTCAGAGAATCCATAGCTTAATGCACCAATTGTAAGGGCTGTCTCTGAAAAAAAGTTGGATGAGCAGGAACAGGCTTAGGGTGACTGAGTCTTCAGCTTTGTGGAGGTGTGAACCCACTGCTTGCCTCCCAACTCTTTTTTGTTTGTTGCCTGGGAGTGCCCGAAAATTACCACATTGCCTTATTAATGAAGAGTAGAGGTTTTCTAAGAATGACTACATCCTCAGTTCCTAGCATTGTCATACCTTTCAGGTCGTCAGAGAGTCTAATCCCATTCACTGCAAGTTTTAAGCCCAAGAAAGGGACTGCTTAATTGCTGACAAAGGGCTTTGTAAGCAGTAGTAGTTATTTTCAGGGTTTGGGGGGAAATGATGAGTGGCAGAAGGAAGCTTTGGGTTGGGAGAGCTGGGTTTAAAAAGATACCAGATTTTGTACCATAGTTTTTGAGCTATTTCAAAATGAAAAATGTTCTGTGAAACACCCACGATGCAACTGGTGTAAGAGAAGTCAGGATTCTATTGGTGCTGTTGCCCGGGCAATAATTCTCTATCACATTCAACTTTGAAGAGCAGTTGTGTCCGATTGCTCAACACCCACATGCAACATTGTGGTGAGTTAACTTGAGTGAGAACCGAGGCAGTGTGGTTCCGGGTGTGGAAGACCCACCTGAGGATTGCTGCCAACAGCATAAAAGAAAAGGAGAACCCAAGGGGAACATTACATAGGGCTGATTTTCTTGAAGAAGTTGCTTTTCGGCTATTTTTCTTCAGAGAAGGTCTGGCTGCTGTCTTCCTGCAGGAGAGCTTCATTGTACATCTTCATCTTGGACATCATCTTCTAGCTTCGAGTTCAGAGCTCTCAGCCTCCTGGCACGGCCCCCTCACTCTGCCAACATGGACGTTCTAGATCCCAGTACTAGCCCTTGGCCCTTTCTAGGGGTGCAGATCCTTGACAGGGACTTGCACAGGATATTGCCATGGACCCCACGCCCTTGACAGGCTCCTTCAGTTCTCCAGTGTGCAGACAGACTTTCTGCAGTCTTCTACCTCTAATTCTAGTGAGCACTGACTAATACAAACATGGACAGTATAGGCATTCTCATTGGTGATAAGGTGTGGGTGGAAAGAGACCAGTTCACCTTGCTCTGGCATGGCCTGTAGTATTTTCTTTCTGAAATTAGGGACCTCACTTGGTCTTTGCCTTGTGTATGTCCTGAACCGTGTGGGATACTGTGGAGCAGGCTTGGTTGGTGATTGCTTTTGTTCCCACAGTGCTTGTTCCGCAGCCAGGGCCTTCTAGAGATCAACCTTAGCTCCAAGACGGAATTCAAACAAAGAGATCGAAACTATGTAGCAAGCTCTACATCAAGGGAAATTTTCTTATTAAAACATAATATATTTTAATTTTGGTTTTATTTATCCTTTTCATACACTGATTTTTTGACTAGCTCAATAAAAAGCTGGATTAAATATCATATTTTGGGTATGGGAGAAATATGGCTTATCTTTCCATAAAATTCAAATTTTCATTTGTCTTACTAAACTCCAAGCCATTTGTGAACATACTGTCAGTTAATTTGTTAGCATATTTACTGAGGTTTAGTTTGTAATAACCTTAAATTGCATTTTGGATTTTCACAGTTTGCAAGAGTATCTGGAACAACAACGTATATCTCAATTTTGTGATGTTGAAGATGATGCAGCTATTGTGACTAAGTTCACTGATGTCTTCTTCCCTGATTTTAAAATAACCAAGGGCAAGAAATTGCAAAAGACACTGGCATTACTGAGACCAGATCTCCTTGAAAAGCAAAGTAGGAAATAAAGAATAAATGCTCAGGGGCCGGGGATTTAGCTCAGCGGTTCGGTGGCCTCCCTTGCAAGCTGAAGGACCCTAGTTTCCCCCGGAAAAAAAAAAAAAAAAAAAAAAAAAAAAGAATAAATGCCCAAATAGTTTGTAGATAAGATTAGAATGCTCATTTACTAACTTCATTTACTTTATTCATTTTTACTAACTTCTCCTTAACACACTTAGTAAACTGGTAATAACGAACAAAGCATTTCTGCAGTTAAAGAGCTTATAAAGCCTTTTCTTTTTTTTTTTTTTTTTTTTTTTTTTTTTTTTTTTTT